CATGAATTTGGATTTACAAGATTACAGGAAGTCAGGTATTTACAAAGAGGGTGTGCAATGTACAAACTCATTGAGCTACATGCCGAAAATCTACATTTTGTTCTATGTAAGTTATACCTCAGTAAGAAAAAGTTTTGTGTTTACAAATTTGCAGCAAATTTAATGAGAGTTTAAACATCTCTTGAGTGGATTTAGGGAGTGGTCTGTGTTCCCAACAGTATCTCGATTGGTATTACTGTTGTGCAATGGCAATGCCTGTGGCTAGGAGAACTGCCATAAGCAACTGTTTTTTGTAGCTTACGAAGGCTCAAGTTTTAACTTAAAATTTCTGCATACACAGTTAGAGCCACTGGAAACCCATTACCACCAGGAACCTGAAAGCACTGGAGCAGTTTCATTGCAGTGAGGACCCATCTAGTAAATAATGCATGAAGGGGCATCTGGGGAGCTCAGTTGGTTAAACATCTGACTCTTGGTTTCGGCTCAGGTCATGATCTCAGGGTCGTGGGATCGAGCCCTGCATCGGCTTCACACTCTGCGTGGAGTCTGCTTGTTTATTTTCCTCTGCTTCTCCCCCTGCTCTCTCTCTCTACTCTCTCTCTCTCTCTCTCTCTCTCATAAATAAATAAAATCTTAAAAAAATAATGCATGGAGATTCTACCGAACACCTTCTCATGGGATGCCTAAGACAAGTAATTCTTTCTCTCCTCCTCAGATTCCTTATCTGCAAAAGAGGATAACATTTGCCCTGCTTTATTCCTAAGGTTATTATGAGGAGAATTACATTTAAACCAATGAAGCATATATTCAGTGCTCATGCAACCGTACCGAACTCTGTGGGCACGAAGAAGGAAAAGGCATGCTTCCTGCATTCACAGAACTTAGGGACACGGATAGGAAGGAAGACCAGTAGGTATATGTTTACAGTAGAAAGTATCACATCATCTGGGTGATGGGGTGCCGGGTGATCCAGACCCAAGCAAAAGAAACTTTAATTCTGACTGGTGCCATTGGGGAAGTTTTCACAGAAGCACAAACACTTGAATGAGACCTTGAAGGAGGATGATTTGGAAGAAAGACTCTCCAAGTAGAGGGACAACAGGAACAAAACAGAGATAGGTCTTCATGACAATCAAATGAGTCTGTAAACTGTAAAGCATGATTCAGTGATAAAATATGACTTGTTACTTCTCCTGGGGCCACTCCTTACCTTCCCCAGCAGCCATGGCCGCTCTAGGTAATCAAATAGCATGGTGATTCCAAGAAAAGACCAGCTTTCCAGCTTCCAGAACTTCGGTGTAGGCATGACTGACTATGTATCCTCCAGTCTCAAAGGAGGTGATGATACATCTCAAGTCCAGCTCGGAAGAATAAACATAAACCAAAGGTTAACGGTTAAATTCTCTTTCTATCTTCTAACATTTCCCCCCAAGTCCCTCTCAGGTGGGCCCCCCCCACCCCCTATCCATCACCACATCAACTCTTCTCCCTTACAAGGATCAGAGCAGGCTCTGAGTTAGCCAGCCCACAAACCCTGACGATGTTGATTTCTAGCTGTGTTATAGGGAGCAACTTCCTTTAATCTATATAAGACTTAAATTTTACATCTGTAAAATGGGAATGAAAATGATAGTACCCACTTCATAGTATTGCTGGGAAGGTTAAGTAAAATAATGTACCTGGTACATAACACTCAAAATGTTATGTCTTAAGTTGTCATCTGGAGTGGGTGTTGCCAGACTATGGCTGTGGGCCAAATCCAGCCACGTCCATTTGTTTGTGTAACGTCTAAGCAGCTTCCTGTTGCAACAGCAGGGTGGAACAGTGACAGGGACTGTATGCCCCACAGAGCTAGGATACTTACTGTCCAGCCCTTTGCAGAAGCGGTTTGCTGACCTCTGATCTGGGACGCTGAGAAGAGAACATCGGCTTACGTGACATTTACAACCAGTTAAATTTTGTCCTTGGTGGGCTCACCAGTGCCTTTCCCTCTTTATTGTTGGTTCCTGGCATCTAATGATATATGGTATGAACCCCTTATAGTGGAGAAGTCCTTATAGAGAGCTCGGCATCTCAGTACCATGGAGATTCCTGGGATCTACTTATATCCTCCTGCAGTCCAGTATTAATAGAGAAGGACCACATAGGAAATGTGAAGAAGGTGGGTAACCAATTTCAGCTCTTGTTAGTTACGGCATCATCTCAAATGGAAACTGCAGAATACTCTAAGTTTAAAGGGGAGTTAGTGTTACCGGGTGATGACCTAGTCACCGAGCAGAAGGAAACAAGGACATGGAAAAAGAAGCAAACCATGGTGGGTGATTTGAAATTTCCACTGACCTCCTCCTCTGCACCTTAAATTAAGACCGCTGTAAAGTCCACTCCTATTCCATTTAAATATCTCTCTTTTAAAGCACCTGCAACATTATTGCTATTCTAAGATGTACAGAAGCCTGGTAGATGGAGATTATGCAGCAGAGCAGTATTCCTAGGGTTTTGTTATTTGCATATTGGGAAGATCACTGGGTCTGGGTCCAGAAAACCTTGCCATGATCTAGATGGGACCACAGAGGCATGTCACCTCCCCTCTCTTAGCCTCAGGTTCCTAGTAGAGACAATCTCTTTGTTAATTGTTAGAGGATACTAAATGGAGACACTCAAAGAGCAGTGTGTGCATATATATGACGATGTGTGGTGGGGTGTTCTGTAAGGAAGGGATTGTAAGCTTTCTTTTGAACGGCAGATGCAACAAGAAAATATTCTAAGATGAGCTTTGGTCAAAACTGTTTTCACCTACTACCCCCTAGGCCACCTGCGTCCATTCCCTTTATTCAACCAAGGGAAGGTTGCTTTGGACCCTGGCTCTCATCAAGGCGGAGAATGAACCTAGTGTTCACTTGCGTACACCTGTGATCCAGAGACGTACGTTCCTAAAATCACTGGCCGGGGGAGTTGCCTTTTGTCAGTGCAGAGGCTTTTCTTAATTGAATAAAAAACAGATATTCACTTATATCAAAAATTCATTAAAAGCACCAACATTCATTGAGGTGTTGTCAGTGCTGGGGCCAGCAAGAATAGACAGTCATTGTCCCTTAATGACTTCAAATCCAGCCTTGAAATACTCTTTAACAATTCCATCCTGAGAACACTTTCTTTCCTTTTGTTACAGCCAGCCATGACCCTGTCCCACGGAGTCCTCACGTCCTCCCTCCCACTCTTGATGCCTCTTCCTCCAGTTTACTTTTGGAGTTTCTTCCCCACGAAAGTGCAAATGACTGTTGCAGAGTCCAGAAGAGTTTTCTTCCTGGGGAGCTTGCATTAGAGTTCCATGTCCTTCCGACAGCACTTTCCCTGCTAAACCTGGATTTGGCCTCAGAACCCATCTGTCATTACCAATCACGGTTGGCAGTTACGTCTACAACTATTCATCATGGTTTAAGCCAAGGCTGAAATTTCAGGAATCAGATAGCAAACACCAGGTTCAGTTTTTTGGGGGAAGAGGGGAACGGGGGTTTCATGGCTTTTTTGTTTTGGGGTTTTTTGGGGGGCCCTGCAAAGTGAGATGACAGAGATATGGCTTGCCCCTGTTATATATAAGGTCCCAACTTAGCAAAAGCCATAGCCCAAGGGTGGCAATTATCTTACAGAAATGTTCTCTACCAAGAAGAAAGTCAGAGATGATCTTCACTGGGCTGAAAACTTGTCGTGAGGAAAGTGAGGAGTGTGGCATTTATATCCCTATAAAGGCACAGCCACTCAAAATACCCACAGTGAGTGGAGAATTCAGAGCAGAAGCACTGTGGGTAGAGAAGGCCCCAGAGGTGTTATATGGTGCCTAAGTGAATAGCTGGACTCAAGAAGAATCTAATTTGAATGTTGCAGAGCAATTGTATGAGGAGCTTTATTCCAGAAAGTTCTATCCTCTTATGCACTGTGTTTGACAGGGGATAAAGTCAGAAGAAGGAAAATGAACACATTCATTAATGAGGATTCAACTTGCAGTTGTAGTGTCAAAAAGATTCAATAATTTAAATAATATTCCATAACTTTCACAGTATTTCTTTTTTAAAGATTTATTTATTTACTTAGAGAGAGAGTGAGTGCAAGTTGGGGGAGGAGCAGAGGGAAAGGGAAAGAGAATCCCAAGCAAGCTCCACCCCCAGAGCAGAGCCCCACATGGGGTTCAATCCTAGGACTCTGAGATCAAGAGCTGAGCCAAAACCAAGAGTTGGATGCTTAACTGACTGAGCCACCCAGGCGCCCCAGCTTTCACGGTATTTAAATGTGAAAGTATGCATTAAACTTGGGAACCTGCTGGGATATAGTAGATTGTAAACATTTCCATACAGTTATAGAATTTCAAATGCAACATTATGCCCTCATGTTAATAATAACAAATAAATTCAAGAGAGCTTAGTTCAAATAAACACATTATTGGGGTTGACAACAAAAGTGTGGACACCTCCCTGACTCAGAGGTGTGCTCACTGCAGATCTCTGTTGGCAAAGGAGACAACTTGGTATAGTCTGGGCTCTCTCAAGAACCTCTCTTTACCACGTATTGGCTGTGAATCTCTGAAGCTCTTCTCCAGCTCTCCAAGTATTTGAATCACTTGTCTACAGGTTCGTGAGCATGACATAGTTACCTTAATAATCTGCAGAAATATGCACAAAGTTACATTTCTGCCTGGCATCCCATTACCAATATAAAAATATAATCGACTGTTTTGGTCATGTACATTAATAATTAACTAGGAGACTTTAAAATTCCCATTTTCCTCAAAGTTACATTTTTATAAGTGCTTGATTTTTTTCCTCTCAATAATTTTGTGAGGGAGTTTTCAGTGTTTTTACCAAATAAGCATCTTTTTATGTAACTTATAAATGCACACAGACATAAAAAGTATTAACAATTAAGAGTTCATAGGACACCCCTATTATTATTATTATTATTATTTACCCCTATGATTTGTTTTAATTAGATTTTAAACACAGGCTTAACATCATATGTATACACACACATGTGGTTATCTTGACCCACAAGATTAACCTTGAACTATTCCTTCAAGGGTATTGTCTCACTAGATGATCCTCCCTATCACCTCACAGAGAAAGAGTCAGCCTTCTGCAATATTTGGAATCATATTTTCCCCCAAATGCAGTTGTAGTAGAGTAAAATAAATAGTAGATTTAGAGGTGGGGTTTATGCCCCGACTCTTGTCAACAACCCAGTTCACCTGTTACTAAAAGGACCTTTCATTTAAGCTTTCAGAGCCTCAATTTTGCCATCCTTAAAATGGAAACAATAGTATTTTTTCTTATTATGTAGCTCATTTAATTAAAAAATATTTAATAACGTAGTCTTTGAGGAAAGCACTGGATAAAAACTCTAACATTAAACAAGTACAAGACCTTGTAGGACATGCTGTGATATTTTACCACACCATGACTTTATCAGTCCCTATAGTTCTAACAATGCCCAAACAGTAATCATTTGGTCACTGGTAGTTCTTACTTCTTACTCCGTGTGACTGGAGAGGGCCTGCCCAATGTGATGTAAATGTGGCCAAAGTACCAAAACCCTCTGGACGCAGTGACTGGTTCGGGAATGATTCTTCTAAGATGAAACCAGATAAGTAAATACTTGATTCTGGAATTTATTGGGCAGGGACTCTCTTTCAATGAGAAGTAAGGACATTAGGAAGTAAGTCTGGAGGTGCTAATGGTCATCTTATCAGCACGTAGACTGATTTATTGAAGCTAACTATAAACTAACTACTGAAACTAACACAGAGAACAGCAGGAGATGGAGAAGAACATATCCTGAATTACAGCATTGGAATCCCTGGATTTATCACCCCTGAGGTTTCACTTGTGTGCTTTTTAATTATCCAGCCCATGGATTTCTTTTCCACTTTAGACTTCGGAGTTGAGTTTCTGTCACTTGCAGTGAAAAGAGCCTTGACTGATTCGCTTACTTCTCACTATGAAGGAGATGCTCTATAAAGAGTCCATGGCCAAGCTATGTATGACTCATGCTTGCATCAATAGACCCAGTGCTAAATGCCAGTGATATGGTTGCGTGATGGCCTTCACCCCATCTTCTGTGCGTAGCTAGACTGCTTAATAGACCTTGAGCCTGGATCTTCAGAGTCTAGGATCTCAGTCAGCACCACAGCCCATCTAAACCCAGCCAATAGGTGAGTCTGCTCTTTTGTCAGGTTGACCCCTGCTTTTAACCCAAGGGCTAGAATATGCTTCTAATAAATCCCTGTAAAATCCTTTCTGATGACTCAACTCCTCCCTGATTCATTCGAGATTTCTTACTGGGTGCAGAAGCTTAAATATTGCCTGAATCGTACTCTCCCCTAAACCCCCATTGGCTCTCTCAGACTTTGGTGCCTGGACTGGATTTGAGCTTGCTCTGAATTACTCCTGACTATAACACCGAATTTGAACTTCTGACCACCATCCTCCTCTACCAGAATAGGACCAAACTTTCTTTCTCAGTTTTTCCTGGCTTCTGGACAATTCTTACTTACCCTTCTACCATTCTTTGGGAGTGATGAAACCAATTTCATTTATAGATCTCTACACTTAGATATAGCAAGGCTAAATCAGGATCTTGAATGTACTTTTTAAAACTAAATGAGATTTTCAATTTTTCATGTACCAAGTGCCTATCCCCCACCCACAACCTTGAAATCAGAATCATGTTGGAGTTCTCTGGCCAGACTCTACTTGGGAAACCAGCCAAAGGAAATCTCTGCAATAGATTGGTCCGGCCCCAATTATGGCAGAGGAGCAGGAGTACACATTACTCCAACAAAAGAAGACCTGCCCAGAGTCATCCAGCACATCTCATGCTGGCCCTGCCAATGCAGGAAAAGTGGAGAATGCCCACTGAAGACAGGAGTGACTTCATGCTCCATCCCTGGAATTGCCTCTGAACTCATCCTAGGAGTGGACGTTGGGTGCTAATCAAGAGGACTTTGATGATTGTTGGTAAATTTGGGCAAATGGGTCCTTTGCCTGGACAACTCTTCTCATTTGCAGGTTTGTGCCTTAGTCTCCATGTCATGTGAAGCAAGGGGTGCTGGGTTCCCTGCTTGGATGTGGGAAGCTGAAGACAGAGCTCCAGGACCTAGGCTACTTTAAACTGAAAAGCCAGGGAAAACTGCCTAGCCCAGACCACTGAGGCAGCCAAGATTTTCTTCTTTCCTGATGGCCCAGGATCATCTCCTGTTTTGATCATGACCAGCTCTTGGAGCTCTTGCTCCTCTCAGGGCCAATGGAGGGGACATGGGTCCAAGACAAGAGTTCAGAATGACCCCAAGACAACTTAAATCGGGAAAGGTAGAGTCCCAAGCCAGAAGTCATAGGGGGGGCCCAAGGGAGCCAGTTCTTTCCTTAAGAGCTGACCAAGCAGCTGAGCACCCAAGAAGTTGAGTTCAGAGGGAATGGAAGACCACCAAGAGGCTGTGTGGTGATCCCACCCCTCCCACCACAGTCCTTAGTTTTTTGCATGGCTAGGGGGAGGGATGGGGTGGTGAGTCCCAGTCCTGAGCTATAAACTGAACCGTGGGTAACAATTTCCATATAAACAATAAATGCTGGCTACACCCTAGGCTAGCTCAGCAAAGTCTATTAAACACATAATATAGGAACAAAGATTTATGTCTACAAGAAATTTGTTCTAGTTAAAAAAGAAACAAAACAAAAACCTACCAATGGACTTAGGCACACAGCTTCTGTGTAAAGCTGGAGACAGTCTGTACTGTACCTGGGTAAATGCAGAGTAGTTTTGAACACATGGTAAGTGCTCGATGACCACTTTATGCTTGATAGATTAGTTATTCTATAAAAGTTTATCATGTTCTTTTCATTTGTTTTCTTTATTTGTAACTCATTTTCAATTAACTTCCGTATATGACATGCAGAGTCCTGATAACAGACATCTTTAAAGGCACATGTCAGTGTGCCTTAATTCTTCCTTTTCTTAGAATATATTTGTTGAGCTATATATCATATATATATAATATGTATTATATGCAAAATCTATATAAATTTAAAAGCAAAAATTTCTTTTGAGAGTTTACTAAAGGCTTGACTTTTACCATTCATGTAATAAAGCATAGATTTTCCTTAAAGGTAAAGTCTCCATTTCAAAAAAGTTGATGACAAGGACAGCAGGGATAAAGAATTTCAACAGTTTAAATTTAAGGTCCTGGATAAAGTCCAAATGGAGAATATTTTCTGATTATGAGAAGTTGGCTTTTTTATCTGATTATTTTTTACAGAGTCAGAAACACCCAGAGGGCAGTGAGGGGCGCTGAGCAGTGACACGGTGAAGAGCGCCAGGACACTGTCCCAAGGCTGTAGGGCACCACGTGCTCTGCCCAGCTCCCTGTGGAGGTGGCTCAGCTTTGGCGAGTCACACAGACAGTCATTCAGGCCCAGTTCTTGAATTTCAGCATATTTTGCTTCTGAAAAGACAAAAACCAATTATTGATAGCTATGCTGACCTCAGATATGCAGGCTATCTTAGTGAAATGATCTTTTCGAACCATATTATTGCCAGTTAGAGGTGACCCTGAACGTGTTGATATAAGTTTCGTGAAAAAAACAAAACCAAACCCAAGCCCAAGAAATAGATACTCTCCCTGATTTTTGTGTTTTCAGTCACCAATGTGGTTTTGATCCTGCTCATTGTTTTTGCCAGCCAAGCTCTCTCTTACTAAGAGGTCCTTTGTAAGATCACTCCAACCTCTTGGGAATTACTATTGGAGCATGTTAGCCAAAGACTGTAGTTAGCTGTGACCTACCTCTCTGTCTCCCCCAAGAGAATGTGTCTTCTAAGGGGTCTAAGGCGGATCTGGCTCAACTCTATCCTGTGTTGGGCCAACAAGTGTTTTGAACATAGCAAGTGCTGAATAGCTGTACTCTGGAATTTTGAAGTTGAGCTGAACTTGACCTTGCCATCATTGATTGATAATTAAAACAAGATTCAGATTAGGACTTTTTCCTTTCCAACCTCAGCACCCATAGTCTCTTATGGAAGTCTCAGGAGCCCAGGTGCTCTGCACCTTCGTGAACCAGCCCCACTCCCGCCTAAGGTCTTCTCTCAGGCAAACAGCAGAAGCTACCCCACGCCTTCCCTCCCACCTCAGCTTGTCTTGCATACTCAGCCTCTATGCCCTGGGCTCAGGGCTGCCTTTGAGAAGGGTCAGAAGCATTGAAGTCAGGGCTTCTGATATTTCATGACATCTATAAATCATAGCCATATAGCTACCTTTTTTCTGAGGATCTGTTACGTCCCAGATAATGTGCTGGACATGTTTAAAACCTGTTATTTATTTACTTTGCCTCAAGGCAGAAGAGTTATTCCCTTTGCTAATTCTTTTGTTTAGACAGTGAAGATCCCTGATTTAATGAAGCTCATGTTCCTATGGAAGAAGAGAGACAACAAACAAGTAAACAAGGTAATTTCAGATAGTGATTACACAATGAAGGAATTACAACTGGGTTATGATGTAGTTAGCACTGCTTTAAATATCAACATCAGGGAAAAATCTCTCCAAGGGGGTGACATTAGTGCTGAACCCCAAATGAGGTAAAGGAGACTGGTAATGTAAAGAGCCTTCATTCACAAGGACCAGCGTGGGCAAAGCTCTGAGGAGGGTATGGGCTTACTGCATTATTAAGTTATCTATGGATCTGTTTGCTTTCTCTGCTAGAATTTGAGCAATATCCTAGTTCACCTACACACTTGGAAAGGATTTTTCTTGCTAGTAACTGGGCTTTCCATCCCCAGCATCCCCCCAGCACAGCTGGGACACCCTATTACATTCATAAGCATTTTCTTTGTCCTTCAAGATATAGTCAAAATCCCACCTCTGCTTTCCCATCTTAGTGTTCAGTGAATTAATTTTGTATTTGTTTTCTCCTGGTTTATTTTGCCATATGAAACACAGGTCATCACATCTGCCTAGGCACCTCCTGGTATTTGTGAGGCTTTCATTCAACAGATTTCCTAAGCATCAACCTTGTGCTAGGCACAGGGCTAAGGCTTGGGACCTAAAGATAAACACAGGTTGGTAACTGCTCTGTGACACATAATGTGTTTTGCTAATTAAACTTGCATTATAGATAGCTTTCTCCAGCAATGGTGTGGAGAATTGATTGAAAAGCAACCAGATTGTATATAGGGAAAACAATACGTATGTGTATATATGCATGTAAATATGTGTGTGGTGTTGTAGATAGCTGCTGTTTTTGTAGCACTAACACCCAGCCTCCTTTTTTTCCTGGAAAGAACACCCTGTTTTCATGGATTACCATCCCCCTCCTCACCACCACTCCTGTTCCATGAGGTTGGCTGAGATTGATTCCAGAGGCCATGTCATAGGTTCATACCTAATCAACACCAGGTAATCCTGAACTTTTTGCTAGAAAAAAAAAAAAGTAAGAAAAAGTTTCTTTCCTCTGGGGTGGTTGAAAGGCTAGGATGCATGACTGGAGCTCTGGAAGTTATCACCATGGGGGAAGAGCCCATGGAGAACAGAGCCCCACTCGAAGAAAATTTGCCCTAAAATATAGGGAGGAAGTACCATGGTGAGCTCCTAGATCTAGCTGGACACCCTTAGTTCAGTTAAATGAAACAAAAAAATTCCCTTTCTTATTTGATTTGAGTTGGGTTTTCTGCTACTTGCAACCCAAATATTCCTAAGTAATATAGATGAGGAGCTTGAGGCACATTGACCTTAGTTGCCCAAGATCCCACAGCTAGTAAGTAGCTGTGTTTACTTTAAACCCAGGAAATCAATCTCCAGAGTCTTTGCTCTGCTTGCCTCTTAGATCAGGGTAGGAAGGGAGAGGAGCAGAGGGATTTGAGAGATGCTTCGGTGGTTGAAGCTGTAGAACTTGGGGACAGGCTGAACATGGCGAATCAGGGAAACATGACTTACACATCAGGAAGATGAAGGTATCACTCATGGGGGAAAGAGGAAATACCAAACAGAGGACATATTTGGGGGTGGGGAAGAGTTGGAGGTGATGTGTTGTGTTCTGGATGTTTTGAGTATGAGGTGTCTGTGGGGCATGCAAATAGAAATGCCTGGACCACGAGTGAGCAAAAAAGCTCTAGGCTAGATGCACTCAATCTTTAAACAAATACTTATTAAACGTCTGCTCTGTGGGAGCCCCTGGACTAGACTAATGGGGATATATGGGAGAACTTGGTAGTCATGGAAACTTTTTGGACTTACAGAGCTTACATTTAAGTCTGAGTTATTAGTGTATCAGTGATCTTTGAGGTGATAATGGGTGAATGACGGTACCCAGGGATTGGATATAGAGTAAGAATAAAAGGAAATTTAACTTCTGTATCTCGGTTTCCTCGTCTATAACTACCCCATGGGGTTGTTCTGAAGGTGAAGCTTTTAGAATGATGTTGTACATAATGAGCCAACTGTATATCTTAGCAATGATGAGTGTGAGGTACTGCCGATGTTGATAATGAAGAGGGGCAGGAAGTGTCAGAAGTTAGGGTTAATGCATAACCTGGAGGTAAGATTGTGCTTATCACAAATGATTCTAGTCATATAGAATGAAATCAGAAAGGTTACAAAATTGAACTTTAGTTCTTCCTGTTGCGATGCTTGCCACTATATAGGCAAGAGTTGAGAAAAGCAAACTTATTTGGCTTTCAAGTACCCCAGCCCCTATTAAATTAAATTTAAATGAATGTGCTACTTAGCTAGGTGCCAGGGATGCAAATACAAACACAAATGTGATATTGCCTTTTCCCTCAGTGACGTTTATGTCCTAGTGGCCCTCATTAAGTGTCAACTTCTTGCCTCCGCTGCGTTCTTATTTTTTGCACTTGGAGCCCTTTCTTCATTGATGGACAGGTATTAGCCTAAATACGGAACTCAGCAATTAGTCTCGATTTATATACACACAATATTAAGTCAAAGCCTTTGCGTGGTGATTTGACCAAGAGCTTAGGGAGGCCGGTGGTATCTACTTCAGCCATCCTTTCTCTGCTCACTCAGAACACCTTCAAATGTACACCCTTTTTCTTACGCAAAGCAATACCACTCTCTTGAGCCCCTACCCCAGAGCTACTCCCAGGCCTTTGTTTACACATCCAAGGGATTTAGCAGATGCTTTGAGGTTTCCCTTTAAAGAGTCTGATTAAACTCTTAGACAAGGGTCATCTTCTTCCCTAGTCTCTACCTGGGGAGAGAGAGGTGGTTTACTTAGAGATAGGCTATGGGTATCTATGACATATTTATACACAAACTTAAATATACATGCATTGTTAGTAAAAAAAAAAAAGGCATTATGCTCTCTCTGTATTTTTGGTGTCTGCTCTTTTTCAATTATAAATATATTTTAAACATTCTTGGTGTTAATAACTCTTATCTAGAACATGATTTTTAATGGCTACATATTTATCTATGGCTATAATGTAATTTTCTTATGTAGTTTTGATATTTAAGTTGTTTTCAGTGTTTCACTTTCATAAATAATTCATTGGAGAACATCTTTGGGTCTATATCCTGTGGGATCCCTGACACCTAGAGCAGAGCCTGGCACTTAGTAAATGTACACTAAAATATTTGCAGAGTGAATGAGTGAATATGTCAACTCAATTTCCATCCCAGGCGCTAGTGTTTCTTTTCATACTGTGTATTATTTAAGTCCAAAGTTTTCTCTTTAATAATAGTTGCAGTTATCATGGAACTGTGCAAATCAAGGCCCCAGTTCCAATAGGCAGTTTCGGTTACCATGATAGTACGCAAAGTGAGGACTGTATTACTTTGTTTCCTTAATTCAAAAGTAATGCATGATAACTTTAGATAACTTAGAAAACGCATATAAAGAGAAGGAAGAAAGGTGAAATCACCTGTAATTACAGCACTCTTAATTAAATTAAGAGTTAATCATTACGACATTTTGATATATATATTCTTGTTAATCTTTTTTTGCGCAAATATGTGGTTTATTTTTCTTCACAAAAAAGGAGGGGTACTTTTCATACTATTTAGTATCTGCTTTTTTCCACTATATATAGTGAACAACTGCTCATGTCATTAAATATTTTTCTTTTACACGGTTGTTATCAGGTTCCTAGGGTTACATTTTATGGATGAACTGCGGTTTAACTAATGTTAACTAATCTCTCATTGTGGGTGAAGTACAGTTTTTTGTATAAACCATGGAAAAAATTCTAAAATCTAGTTAATTTATATGGTTTTGTAGTTTTCAAATTTTGCACTATAAAGATATATTAATTTTAAAAAACAGAAATACATACTATACTATACTATATGCTATAGTATAGTTTTGGGAAATAGATTGGGGGAAAATAGGTGGCACTTTTTCATGTCCTACTTGATACATTTCTGTATTGTTTGAAAATTTTGACACTGGTATGTATTAATTTTATAATTAAAAATAAACACTGAAAAGTGTTTTTAAATTTTAATTTACACCTAGCACCCAGACCTTGGTTTCTAATACCATTCTCCAATAAAAGGAACGTGGGTTTCTTGAAAAAAATGGCTAACTCTAGGGCTGGGGTAGGGGAAATTCAAGATGATCCTGGAGCATCTTACTACACCTGAGAGTAAGAAAAAGCTCAAAAAAAGCAAAAAAAAAAAAAAAAGTGACATGTCAAAGGGACACGGGCACCAACCTGAAAGAGCTCCCAATGGCCAAATCTGAAATAGTATGAGCTGCACAATAAATGGTATTGAATTATAACCCAAAGTATAAAATAAATATCCATGAGTTCCAAACATGATGCAAATAATAACAGAAATAAATAAATGCGGGTGGGGGAGGAGACAACTCTTCCTTATAGAAGAATTCCAAATAATTTACATAGATCCCATCCAACCTGCAGGAGGTGGAGCTTAATCACACCCCACCCCTCGCCCCACCATGACAATAAAAGAAAAACCCACCCACTTTGAACCCCGTGAGCTGTGTTCACTGAGTGCAGCCTGCAAAGGGGAAAACAGTAACTTTACAGAGGCAAGCACCACCTCGGCAAGGTTATCCCAGCCAACATCACAGACCTAAGTCATGTAAACAGCATGTACTCCTGATATGATGTGATGACAGTGGGCACTTCGTGTCTGTGGTCTTCCTCCCTGAAAAACCCAGTATCCAGTCTCCTCTTGAGAAAACGTCAGACACGGGCGCCTGGGTGGCTCAGTTGGTTAAGCGACTGCCTTGGGCTCGGGTCGTGATCCTGGAGTCCTGGGATCGAGTCCCACGTCGGGCTCCCTGCTCGGCAGGGAGTCTGCTTCTCCCTCTGACCCTCTTCCCTCTCGTGCTCTCTCTCTCTCATTCTCTCTCTCTCAAATAAATAAATAAAATCATTAATAAATAAAATCTAAAAAAAAAAAAAGATTTAAAAAAAAAGAAAACGTCAGACAGATCCTAACCGAACTCTTGACGGGCACTCCTCAGTCATCAAAGACAAGGCCAAGCTGAGAAACATCACAGCCCAGAGGAGGCTGAGGAGACGGGAGGACGAAAAGCAATGTGGGATCCTGAATTAGATCCTGAACAGAAAACGGACCTTAGTAGAAAAACCAGGGAAACCCGAACAGGATCTGGAGCTGAGCGAACAGTGTCAGACCCATGTTGGTGTCTTCCTTTCCATGATTGTAAGCACAGTTCTATGGGAATGAGAACATTAGGGGAGATTCTCTGAGGTATATTAGGGGAGATTCTCTGAGGTACACTGGAACCCTCGGCACTATCTTTGTAACTTTTCTGTAACTGTAAAACTATCATAAAATTAAAAGTTATTTCAAAAAATTAAAAATGCTTCCATCAACAACCATGCCTATCAGCAAGTATCTTTGCATATTAAGAAACTGAACTACTTCTAATCCTTCAAATTATACCTAATCACATTACTATAAACACTATGAGTTAGAATCACATTTTTAGGCCCACCCTGTCCAAAGCTTGCATTTTTAATATTGTGTCTTTTTCCTTTTTTCAGCAGGTGACCTGAGGCATGCCTGTGATATCACCGCTGGGCCTCTAATCCTGCTCCACCCCTGACTCAGGCTTCTGATACAGCTCGGGGGAGGGGGGGGCGGGGGGGGCATCCTCTGTGCTGGGTCTTAGCTGCCTGGAGCTCCCACATCCCAACATTGAACCTGGGTGGATTTTCTGGGCAGCCTCTGATGCTTTGGGTCTTTTGCCTTTCAAACTACCCTCTCTCAGTCAAGCAGGTCTTGGTAAGGAAAAGAGCTACTTTTGGTAAGGATTTTAGACTGTAGTCTAAGGGCAACAGGAAGCTTTTGAAGATTTTAAGCAAGCGAGGTGCATAATCTGCAGAATATGAACTAGGAGGGAGGGGTGGAAGAGTGACTTTCAGAGTGACTATTACGGCAGCCCCTGGGGGAGATGCGGTAGGCCTGGACGGGGGTGCTGGCACGGTGGGTGGGGGCTTCAGATACCATGACAGTGAATAATGATAATCATAAACATTGATATACTCCTGTGGAGTTTACATTGCAAACGCTTTTACATTCTTTGTCAATTAATGTTTACAACCCTGGGTAGAATTTCCATTTTGCAAATGAGAAAAACTGGAGCCATAGGAAATTAAGTGAATGGCTCCGGGCTAAGTAGCATAATTTTAACCCAAGCATTTTGATTCCAAATCCAATGTGCTTTTCCAGTGCCCGACTGCAAGATTAAGGGGGAGATATATGTTAATGATTTGGTCTCTTACCCTTTGGGTTAATGGTTTTCAGAAATTACTATACTTACAAGCTTACAAATACAGATTCCCGGGCCCCACCCTTGGAGGTTCTGACTCCGTTTCTGGCGTGTGGGGGTGGGCGGGCAGAGCTCTGTAGCACCCTGGGGGGGGATGTAAGGAAAGGGGCTTGAACTAGAACTGCCATGGTCTTTGCTTGTTTTCCCAATTCCCATGCACAGGCAACACTGAATGGGGACCATTTTTCTCCAAGTACATGTACGATGATTCAAAAATGGATATAGATTTTTTTTTTACCAATTTTTTAAAAGATTCATTTATTTATTTTAAAGAGAGAGAGAGAGTGAGGGGGAGGGCTAGAGGGAGAATCTCAAGCAGATTCCCTGCTGGGTGGGGAGTCCAACTTGGGGCTTGATCTCAGGACCCTGAGATCGTGACCTGAGCCAAAATCAAGAGTCTGACACTTAACCAACTGAGCCGCCCAGGCACCCAGATTTTTTCTAACTATTATTTGAACAGTCATCTTTTGGAATCTGAGTAGCATTAGCAAACTTGGCTTTGAAACTATTTTTGCTGTTGAATGACTGACTACTTTGTCCTTGTTGTACCTGTCCTGCCCCCAAGCCTCTTCTGTGATCATGGTCCCCGTGTCCCAGGCCGGTCTCTGTGGCTTCTGGGCGAGCCTGCCTCTAGCCACAGCCATGCGGCCACACACCCAAGTCTGCGGAGCGGAAGCCTCAGCCCACAACAGGGTCAGAGCGTGTGGTTTTGTAGCCACAGGGAAAAGGGGTTGGGAGAGGGTGGGTTGAGTATTTTCCCATCTTCAGCCCTCCGAGCCCAACTGCAGGTTATGACTTCAGTGTGCCATTTCTCCTTTAAGAAAATAATGAAAATGGTCCAGAATCGCTCTCTGTCTTATTTGGCCTAAATAATGGATTTTCTTTCTTTGTTTAGCTTTCTGGTACCTCTAAAATCAGATGTACTTCTTTATGTAATTGCTTCTCGTTACTACTCTAGTTGAAGGTCACTTAAGGCTTGTGGCTCGCTATTTTTGAATTTTATCTACTTTTCAATCATTACGTGAAGATAAATACCTGAGTACTTGCATCTCAAGTTACAGAAAAGGGCCCCTAGCTCACGTGGGTTAGGTGCTCTAAAGAGCAAAACTGTGGTGACCCGTCGATGTTTATTCACCCACTTTACCTCGGCCTCTACCGGCCCACCACACGGCTCCCCTCACTCGCCACGGGAATATTTTCCCGGAAGGCAGAGTCAACCCTGAGAAAACTATTCTTTCCACGTGGGGATAGGCTTCTCAAAGTCTCCCCGAGAGGCCTGGTCTCAGCAAGGGGTGTAGAGAGGCGTGTTTCCACTTGACCCAAAGGGGCCCTGCTCTGCCACACACACTACTTTCCAAGCCCTGGGGGTGCATCCTTCTCTCCACCTCAGCTGAGGGCTCTCTGGTGGGTAGAAGAATCATGAATGTTTATTGAGTGCCTACGATGGACTAGGCACTGCAGGATTGCTTTGATCAGTCACAAACATCTCTTCCTTTCAAGCCGATGGGACTACACGTGCCAGTCGTTGGCTGCAGCCTTCTTGGTGGATGGTACTCTCCGGGACCCCTTGGCCTCAGGCAGCACACACCTCACAGGCTGGGCTTGGCAGCGTTTCCAGATGGGATTCCCAAGGATCGCAAGTCCTTCAGGCTGGGGGCATCTGGAAACTCTTCAGCAGGACATAGTTGGCTGTTACAGCCCCACCGTCGTCCCTGCCCCCAAGCTTGGTTTATCTCAGGATTGAAGCAAACTGCTAACCTCTAACGGCAAACAAGGGTCAGGAAATATTTCAGCTCTCTTGAAGGCTCTCCTCACCTTAAAGGGGACCTAGACGGGATCTGTTCTTTGAATTTCCCTCCAAGGGGGTGGTCCTGGGGCATATATTCCCAGTCTCTGTATGGCAGTATGGCCAGGTGAGGCCCGCTAACCTTGTTCATTCCAATGTGGTAACTTTGATTCTGCTTGTGGCGTAGGGACAGCCTTCTTCCCAGTCACTGTCCCACAAACGGCCCCCTGATGCTGGGGGGCCTGGACACACCCTCCACTTGGGCTGCCCTCTAGGAACAGTGAGACCTCCATCAGCTTTCATAACCCTTTTAGACAGCAGGTCCGTGGGGAGAAGGGAGGAACCAGGATTGGTCTGAGCTGGTTTCTCAGGAGGACAGCCTAGAATCTACAACATGACTACTCAGGGTTTGGTGAACTTGGGTCTAAGCTTCCGTGGTGTTGAATCAGAAAGCTGGAGGCGTGGGATAGTTAATCTCTGGGCAGAGAAACATCCACAACAGGCAAGCGCCCTTCTGGAGGCGGGGCCCGTGTGGGGTATCACAGAGGAAGCAGGACCCCTCGCCGCAGTTGGGGGAGGGGAACGATGACAAGTTCCAGCCCTCCAGAGAGAGAGGAGTGTTCTGGCAAAGGCGTAGGTAGATTGTCAGGCCCCCAGCCAGGCAGCTGTGGTTTGGGGCTGGGTTCCAGGGCCAGCAGGGAACTGGAATGCCAAATGGGAACTGAGCAGGCGCCCAGTCATATGCCATACTTGGCCATAGGGCGGGTTTAGACAGAAATACTCTGGTTTCAGGGCACCTGGGTGCCAAAGAGCTTTCCTCATATACCTGGATCCTGGGCGTGGCATGGCAAGACTGATCGATCTCCTGTCCCCCCACTAGGGGCCAAAGGCCCCAAATTATGAAACAATAAGCTTGTGTAGGATCAGATCAACCACCTAGCAGAATAGAGTAAGTGTGCAGATGTCCCAGGGATCTTGGATTACCTTTGTCCCCATCCTCCCCACCAGATTCTTCCCCTGAGAGGCAGCCATTCCTATAAACTGAAACAGATGAGTTCTTGCTAAGATGCCTGATAGGTTTTTTTTTTTAATCTCTTAAGTTCACACGCAAAAAGACTATAGATGATAGATATATATACGTCTATACATACCCACAGACACACTTACGCATACAGATAGGTCTTGCATACGTAGTAGATGAATCCCTAAAAAAGTCATATTTAAGTTCACTTTTTATAAATAATTCCTACTTGAAATTATCAAGGCAGCATCTCCTGATGGATCTGTCTGCTCTCTTTCATTAAATAATAAGACATATGCAGTCTAGCTTATTTTTTTCCTTTTCTATTTTTTTGCCAGGAAACCCAGAGCTGAACTTCATATTTAATTTCATTACTTCCTTAGTTTTAATCTTCTGATAGAATTGTTTTCTTCTTTGAACCCATTGTGTTACCTGACTTTTGTGTAGAGGTTCTTGATGTAATAACTCTATGGGCATTTATCAAATGTAATTTGCAATGATTTTAGAAGTGAATAATGAGTAAGTCATAAATAAATGAGTTGAATTTTCTAGAATCTTAGAAATATGTACCAGGGAAGCTTGCCAGTTGATGGATTACTAAGTTTGGGAAAAGCAGAATTCTACCGTAATGTACAATATCTTATTTTGGAACCTACCTGCCTGGAATTTGGAATGTGGAATTCACCCTCTGCAGATGAGCGTGAAAGCGGGTACCTCTGCATTGGAAGGCATTAGCCAGAAGGACCTGTAGCAGGAGGGAACTGCTGGTCTGCTTTGTCAGAATCACTCACTTTGCACCTACTCTCTCAGTCATATTTGCAAACACACCTAGGAATGTTGGCTACATCCTCCCTGGGCAATTTGGACAATGCTTTTGCAGTCCTTTATCTGACCTACTTGGTCAACACGGCGCCTTGACTCAAAGATACCGGGGAAGCAAAAGGCCCCGCCGTGTCACTGAGTCCATTCCTCAGGGTGGGGCAGGAGTGAGAAGCAACCTGATCTGCCCCTTCCATCTCTAGGGAGAAGCAGGTGGTGAAATCTCCTCTTTATACCCAGAGCAAGCCTTCAGCACTGGCCATCATAGGAGTAACCAATTTAGTTTCTCATTCTGGCATCTCTCCTCTACTTATCTTCATCCTTACTGTGTTCTTGGAGAGACTTTGCTGAAGCAGGAATGTGTCTTCAGAAAATCTTTCGCAAACATATCTTGGGGCCAGTAACTGATGTGCTCCCCAGCTCTGTTAACCCTGGTCTGAAGGGTGCAGGCTGCAGCTCTGCTCTGCTCAGGAGGGGCTGGTACCTGGAGGTTCTGCTGGTCCTCTGGGCTGTGGGGTGAGTGTGGTGGACCGGACTGCCCCCAGGAGACTGCGAAGATAAGCCACTCTCTTGGCCAGTTTTTCAGGCAGGGGGCCATTGAAATGGAGTGAATGGCGTCAGGATCCCATGTGCTTGAGGTGGGGAATGGATAGATGGAAAGTGTCTCCCCTCTGAAGCAGCTCCTTGGCACAAAAAGCATGTCATTCTCAGGTCTGATTTCATAGGTCAAAAAGGGAAAGTCCAAGGGCCACCTGGAATTGTCCTAAAATAAGTAGAGGACAGACATGGGGAAACTAGGACCTATGAATAAACGTTGTGTAAAGTTTGAGGGTTGGAACTAGGACCTATGAACACAGTTAGAAGGAGACCAAACTGGGTTCCAAATGAAGAAGGTTTTCTCTCTCTTAGGGTTGTTCAAAAATGGATTGGGCCTATCCACAGATAAATGGATAAAGAATGTGTGGCATATACGCACAATAGAATATCATTCGTCCTCAAAACAGAAGGAAATTCTTGCTGCAGGGTGGATGAACCTCCAGGGCATCATGCTCAGCGAAATGAGCCAGTCACGAACGCTGCATGATTCCCCTTCTCTGAGGTGTCTGGAGGAGTCAGGGTCATAGCAACAGAGAGCTAAACGGTGGGTGCCAAGGGCAGGGGGCCGGACGAGGGGGGGTGGGCAGTTACGGTTTGCTGGGGACAGAGTTTCTCTTCGGAAAGAAGAGGGTTCTGTGAATGGGTGGTGGGAATGGTCCTATGACAACATGAATGCACTTAATGCCCTGAACTGTATACTTGAACATAGTTAAAAGGGTCAATATTATGTAATGTATATTTTATCACAATAAGAAAACGAAGCAAACATCGTTGGAGATTAAAGGACCTTAAGTTGGTGGAAGAAAAGTGGCTGTTAGCCAGCTTGTCCCATTAGCCGGAATGTGCTCCTCTGGTGGCTGTCGCTGGTTTTGTGTTGGTGGAACAGTCCCAGAAGCCACAGTCTAATATGGAGAGATGGGGCTAATTCCTCAGGATTTTATAGACAGTGAGAAAATAGGAGCAGGAAGGCAAGTTTCCTTAGGAAAGGGGGCTCATTGGCCTTCCGCTTGTATGGCTGTGTGAGTGGCAGGGGTGGGGGACTCA